AGAAGAGTGCGAAAACTTCTTCCTTATGAGTGAATCTTTTTCAAGATCACTCTTACAACCAAATCTAGATACTAAAAGAAAGATATCAAAAATTCTAGATTTCAAAGAATGTACTTATAAATAGTACGTACAACAGATCCTAGAAAACACACTAAAATTCTCGAGATTAAAACTTCAGCTCTCTATTTTGTTTTCTCGAAATCTGTATCTATCTTGAGTCTTGAGTTTGGTATTTATAGACTTGCTAAGCTTCCACTCTTCAGCCCATGATCTGCAAGAAAACCAACCACAAGAGCACTCAAGATAATGGGTTAGTGGGTTAGTTAGGAAGTAAAAATAAATCCCATAATTAAATCCACTAAGCACTACTTAACCCTACTAAGCCCACTAACTAAGATTTAGTTTAGAAGTTAAGAAAAGTTAAAAACACATTGTGAATTTAATTCACGTGTTTCAACGTGGATTGTTGGAAGGTAAGACTGAAACGATCATTTTAATGAAAGATAAACCGGATCGGGTCGGGGGCGATTGGGATTGAAAACCACCCGAAACCATCTCCACACAAACTCAGATGAGAATACAGAGAAGAAAAACCAACATCAAAACTTTTCATTTCCCGTTTAATTGTAATGGAGAAGATGATTCCCCATTTATACATTTTAATTCATAAAGTGCTACTAGAAATAAAGTGCTACTACATCTACAACAACTTATAAAAGTGTTAAACCTATTATTTAAATAAAATGCTATTTGACTTAAAGAAGTGCTACACCCCTTTTTACGTTTCTTTGTTCCCTTCAATTTTGGATCGTTACAATATTTCTCCCTTAAACAGTCCTTGTCCTCAAGGACTGAACAAAATGTAGCTTGTAATGACGGTCTTGAGACTTGATCAAATCCATTAAAAATCTACAACTCACGATACAAATTCGAAGTATGCCCAGCAAGAGTATATAACTGACAGTGACAATAGAATAGCATGAAACAAGGGCAACAACAAATTTTTGAGGTGTTGCAAAACGCTTCCTCTAGAACATTCTTTATTCGCAAGGTTTGGAGTGGAGTGCTTATTTGTGAAATTCTGGAGCCTTGTGGAGGTGGTTCTGGTGGTGGACGAAGCAATCCCAGCCAGACATTTCTAGTGCGCGGTAACAACCCCACTTGGGAATAAGCTTGCCATAAGATTATCAAACCAATGTTGATCCTTGTAGATCGAAAATCCTCTTTTGCATAAACATTTGTCCGCATCCTTAATACTTCAGGTACAAATCGAACTGAAATTACAACACCTTCAAGTAATTCTACTTCCCAGCCATAGTCACGTAACAAATGAATTGAGCAATCCTTCATTGTACCATTTTCAGCCTTCGTTTCCATAAGCTCATTTCCCTCATAAAGCTGATCAAACAGTACATTTGCCACTTTAATCAAAGGGGATTCCTCCTTGCTATGAAACATGAATTTATCATGCTCCACTTCATTTATCATCAACATATTCTATTTCTCCAATACATTTTCAAAGGATTCAACAATTGTACTAGATCCTTGAACTTCAAACACAAAATTTTTCATAGACAGCTACCTTGTGCAATTTTCATTTCAGTTTCTATGATCCTTTGTCAGACATTTCCTCAAACACAATCAACTCATCAATTTTACTCAAAACATTTTCAGTATCATTTCCCACATACTTTCTATTAGGCATTTCATCAAACACCACCAGCTCACTCATTGTAAGACTATCTCCTTCACTAGATATATCAGCAGGGGTATCAACTCCCAAGTGTTTAGGAGGAATCTCAACTACATAATCCATCGATAAGCTAAAATCATTGCTATTTTTATTGCCAAGAAGAATTAGGGCATTTTCCTGCAACTTAGCCAAGCTAACCACCTCAATCATAGTCTGAGGTTTAAATATTGAAGAGAAATCTCAGACTTCAATCCACCCAAAAAATAACTCACAGCATAAGTTTCAGGTAAATCTACATTCCTCAACAACAATTCAAATTTGTCGGCATAATCTGTAACATTTCCTATTTGTTTCAAAGACGCCAATTCATACATAGGATCTTCATAAAGTAGGGACCCAAACCTATCATGTAAAGCTCGTATGTATTCCTCCCAATTAAGCTGCTCCCACCTTGCTTTCATAAAACTCCGATGCCATTCCAAGGCCTTTCCATCTAAATGCATCGTCGCTACTTCCACTCTCCTTTCTGAAGGAGTATCTTCGATTTCAAAAATTTGTTCACATTTGAACACCCAACTTCGTAGATTCAGCCCATTGAATTTAGGAAATTCTACCGACGAACATTTTTTTGGAAGTTGATACTCAGGTCCCCATTCTGACTCACGTGGAATCTCACGAATTTCTTGCTCGGCCGCCCGCCCTTGAAGCTCCGACATGGAGATCTGTCGAAGTTTGCAACTTATTCATCCTTACGCCAACGCCGCAAGCAATTCTTCCGTAATTTTTTTGTTCCCGCCACCAACCGATTGCGTATTCTCCCTTCCTTGACCCATCTGTTTGAGCATCTCATCGTATGGACCTTTCGCCGTTTTTGTTTTCTTTTTTTTAAATATAAAGATCTAGAGCCGCCGAGGATCGACGGCTCTGATACCAAACGACCTTTTTAATGAAAGATAAACCGGATCGGGTCAGGAGATTGGGATTGAAAACCACCCAGAACCTTCTCCACACAAACTCAGATGGGAATACAGAGAAGAAAAACCAACATCAAAACTTTTCATTTCCCGTCGAATTGTAATGGAGAAGATGATTCCCCATTCATACATCTTAATTCATAAATTTCTACTAGAAATAAAGTGCTACTACCTCTACAACAACTTATAAAAGTGTTAAACCTATTATTTAAATAAAATGCTATTTGACTTAAAGAAGTGCTACACCCCTTTTTACGTTTCTTTGTTCCCTTCAATTTTTGATCGTTACAAAGACCTAGAGTAAACTCTATATATTTGAACCTTGCCCTAATTTATACACTCTCTGTGAGATTTGGGGTTGTGGTTAGTGTGTGAGCTTTGAATGCTCTGTTTTTTGTCTTACTGATTTCTGGGTGGAATTGAGTGAGAGAGAAAGATTCTTGTTACGAGATTTATTCTCTCATGTTAATCTTGGTGTTGTTTGATAGAGTCCTTCGTGGATCTTTTGTGTGGATTTGGATACGGAAGACTGAGCTCTAATTCTTACTTTTTTTTTTTTTTTTTTTTTTTTTTTTGTTTTTTAACTTGAATCTTCTTGATAATTGATTTCATTAAGATTTATTAAGATTTATTGTTATTTTTTAAATGCAATCTCCGAATGGATGCCAGAAGTGGTATCAGAGCCCTGTTGTCGATAAGTTCCATTCAGAGTGGATTTTCAAAACCTAATTTGATTTTTCTAAGGTAACACCTATGAACCCTAATCTTTTTATTCTTGTATTGTACCTCTGGATTTTGGGAGACCTGCGTGACATGTCATTGGACTACGAGGCATGGTGGCCAGTGTGGCATTACTTGAATCCTAAATTGCTTAACTACCGACTTTTATTTATATATATATAAATCTCAATAATAGCTACCTAAGAGATTAACTATATTCCTATGTTAATACCACAAAGACTCTTCTACCACAGTTCTAATTATTAACCCGATCTTCCGATTCATGCGATTAACAATAACATAAAAGCGCATAAAGTGGCCAGTTTCATGAACTTAATAAAACAAGTAGAAAAAATAATCCGGAATTAAAACTTGCATAAAATCATAGAAAAAGGTTCATAAATCCCACATAGGGTTCCAAATAAAATCCTAGAAATAAGAAATTTAGCTACTCATGCTTAAAGGAAAAACGCAAATAAAATAAGTCATAAACGATAAATCTATGCTTAGAGTCTTCGAATTCTTCGTCTTCGTTATTGCTTTGTTCCTCTTGAAATTGCGTAAAAGAGATCACCAATTGTGTGCTTGGGTTGGTCTTATATAGGGTGAAGAACTTGAGGAAGAAGGCAGTTTCCTTGTGCAATTTGAATTCCTTTACTGCGCAGCTTCGGAGTCTCGGACGGGGGTCCCACAATTTGAACTAAAACTCGGACGGGGTCCGAGCTTTAAATCTTCAGAAATTTGATTTTTTCACTTTTGACCCATATTTTCTCCAAAATTGCAGTTTTGACCCCATACTTTTCCAATTCTTCAATTTGTACCTAAAATACAATAAATCAACTTTTTAAGCACCAATTATCGTTAAAACACACCAAAAGCTCAAATAAAAAGATACGATAAAGTGTAAAAATATACACTTAACAGTCTCAAAATTGGAAAAATCTAAAACAAAATAGTTAACTATTATGGTGATCCGTTATCGAAATGACACAAATACCCTTCAATTGGACATGTTCATGGAATTTCGATGAAAAATACACCGAAAATTGTGATTTTAAGCAAAATGCAATTGAAATAGAAATTTGAGAGGGGAAATTCTGTTTTTGAATTTATAGGGGAGAGGTAAAAATATTACATCCCTCTTACAGGGTGTTTGGCTAAGCTTATAAGATGTTAAAAAGAGCTTATAAGATGTTTTAGAGCTTATAAGCTCTTCTAAAGTGTTTGGTAAATTTTTAAAAAAAATCTTAATTTTTTTTTAAATAAGCTGTTGGAGAGCAAATAAAATCTTTTTAAATAAGTACCTCTACCCCACCTTTTTATTTAAGATCTTATAATGAGTAAAAATAGGAAATAAGCTCATTATCCAAACACTCTAAACATTAATCCTAAAAATAAGATGTAACAGCTTATCAGCTCTAAAAACATTTTATCAGATGTAAGAGCTTATCAGGAAATTAGGAAATAAAAAAGTAGCCCTCAAACTAGTTTTTTTTTTTTTGAATTCTTTGTTCATTAAACTAAAGAAACATGAAACCTGAGAAAAAAAAATAAAGACAAATTATTACTAGTAAATTGGTTCTCTCTCTCTAGTATTAATAATCTATCGGTGAAGATTCAATTCCTCTGTTCGGTCAACGGTCACCAAGAATTCTTCAATGGCTTCTCCAACAAAGCCGACAGATACATCTCATTCAGCTCCGGTCCACGATCAAGCTTCTTCCCCACCACCCACTTCACCTTCACGAACCCCACGCTCTCTATCAGCGGCGCGTACACCTCCGCCAGCTGCTCCCCCACACAGAAGAAATGGTCCATCCAGAACAATCCCCCCGGCCGGAGCACCCTGTATATATCGAACATCATAAAATGCAGCATTTCCGTCGGTATCCAGTTGCTCAGCACGTGCATCGAGTGCACTATATCCAACGTGTTATCGAAAAACGGGAACCTCTGCGATATGCTCACGTACAGCGGCACCACCCCACGCGCCGCTATGAAGCTGTTGAACGGACCGTTAAGATTCATCGACGTCGTTATAACGGTCACGTTTCGTTCCTTCATTCTAACGGCGAACGTCGCCACCCCGCCGCCTATGTCCAGCCCGATCCGTATGGTTCCTGGCGGCTTCGCCGCCAACACCTCGTCGATCGTGAAGTCCAGGCTGGACGGCGGCGGCGGCGCCGCCGCCGCCGCCCAGCGGTGGCGCTCGCGGCCGTTGAGGTCGAAGCAGTCCTTGCAGTCGTCGAAACCCTTCTGGTCGCGGGCGCGGTTGACGAGGCATGCGTAGTTCTTGCATGTGTACGCCGTCCACACGACGGAGGAGTCCGGCGGGGTGGTCCAGAGGCTGCCCGGCAGCGGCGCCGGCTCGACGGCGTCCCTCGGGGCGGCGGCGCGGCAGCGCCGCCGCGGGAGGGGCTCGCATCCGCGGAGGAGGAGCTTCTGGGCGAGGAGCTCGTCGTCGGGGCAGGGGCCGTTGACTTTGTACGACATGTAGCGGCCGAGCTGGTCTTTCATGAGGCGGCACGGGCTGCCGACTGGCGGCAGAATCTCGTCGGAGTCAAAATTGCGGTTGAATCCAAAGGGGAGTTTCTGTGGGGATGTGAAGGCGATGAACTCCGGAGGCAGGTCTTGTGTAGTTTGATCGGTTTGTTCATCGCCGTCGTCTTCCTCCACCGGAGGCGGCGGCAGAGGGTAAACGGCGGCGGCGGTGGTGGTTTGGAGTTGATGAGGTTTGAGGGAGCAATTAGAAGAGTAGAAGGTGGTGGATACAAGTAAAGTGAGAAGATTAGAGGTTAGTAGAAGAGAAAAGAACAAGAGGTTATTGCAAGATAACAAGAGGTTCATTTTTAAGGAATTGTGTGATTTTGTCTTTGTGATTAATTTTGATTTAAAATCTGTTTTAAAGGGTAATTGTACTTATTTAGATTGGGGGAAGGTGGTTTATACATTATTATTATAATAGTTTAATTAATTCATTGGATCATGATCCTATACTAGTTAACTTGAATAATTAAGGTCAACGTTTTTCAGATTTAATCCTAGTGGAACATTGGAACTTGTTTATGACAACATCGTTTGTTTAATCAGTGTTCATGTTTTAATCAAATTTAACTCGAATTATTAACATGAGATACTAGTTTAATTATAACCCGTTTTCGTGTGTATTACGATTTTATTAGTAAAGATCGAACTACTATAGTCAATGTAATTCAATCAGAAAGAAAAGAAAGCAGGTGTTAACTATGCTGCTACCACAGTTTAAATTCAGTAATAATAAGAAACAACATAAATTGGTCAGATTCATGCACTTAATAAAATAACTAGAAGAAAAAAAATATGGAGTTAAACTTGCATAAAATCATGGGAAATGGTTCACAAATCCAGCATAGTAACGAATAAAATAATAGAGATAAACAAACTTAGCTACTCTTAATCTTTACGAAAAAAAATCATAAAAGAAATAAGAAAAGCTATGCCTGAGTTTATGTGGATCTTCGTTCTCGCGCCTTGATAATCGCTCTAAACTTCCGTGCTTGGACCTGCGAATTGTGCTGAGTAATTCTGCTTACATAGTGGCCAGGACTTGATCAAGAAGGTAAGAGATTCCTTATGCAATGACAATGCGTGGGTTGCTTGTTCGTAGGCTCAAACTGTCGTCTGAGAATGCGTGGGTTGCTTCTTCTGCTTCAACGGCTTGGATGATCGTCTCATTTTCCAAGGCATTTTTGGGACGGCCGGCCCAATATGCGAAGCTCACTTTTCAACTTCTTCTCAACTGGACGACCCTATAAGTTTAAAGCTCATTTGTGGGACGACCGTCCGAAGCTCCCTTGGAGTACTTCGGCAGATTTTTCCATTCTTGCCCGTTTTTATCCGTTTTGACCGTTTTGTATTCCTTTGTCCGATTCCTCAATTCGTACATAAAACAGATAAAACAAATCTCTAAACACCATATAATCGATAAAATCTACCAAAATTCACGTACGAGAAAGTAATTCGAGTGTAAAATTTACACTCAACAAATCTGATTGTCATAATCTGCGTACTTAACAAACTGATAATTTACGTTCTTCACATGAATTCAATATCCAGCTCGATTGAGTCCATTGAAATTACTATTGTTTCGACTAATTAAAATTATGGGGCATAAACTATTGGTAAAAGTGTTCGTTTAATGTTTATATCTTCAACAAAAACAATGTATTAACTAATTATATTTTTTTTCTGGCTCAATTTTGTTCCCGTTATGGATACATGAATAAAAAGTAATTAGTTGAGGGATAACTAACTGGATGAGTATTTTAATTTCATTACATATTTTATCCTGAAAGTTATAATCCATATTTACATTTTCTTTTATATTTGTGTCGTAAATTTTAAATGATAAAATTTAGAGTTGTGGCAGAATACGAGGAAAGTCAACTGGTGAAGGTAGATCTAATATGTTTGATAATTTGACCCAAAAAGCACAAACTTAATTATATTTATATAACTTATCTATTAATTGGCTCTTTTAATTTGGTCATGTTGACGTGATTATTTTATGGAGATCACATGTTTTGATTTCGCATCACGTAATTGGTGGTAGATTTTATTAGCTAAATAATTATTTACAGGGTGGACCCCAACATCATTTCAATGGGGTCAAGATATTTATGAATTTACGGGGTTTCAGAGGCAGCACCCGAATTATTATTTTTTTGGATATTTTGTAAACATCAATAATAATAAGAAAAAAAAAAGTAAGTATTTTAAACTACTTTAATTAAAAATAAGTATAATCTAAAATATATTATCATTATTGGAATTTTTAACCTTAAAATAATCATAGACTAAATCTTTATTTTTCTAGAGGGAAGAAATACACTATAATTTATAAATAAATATGAAAAATCACTAGAAAAAAAGGTAAAACATTTTTACTTGTACGGGCGGTAGCCTGCAGATCAAACCTTGGGTTCGCCTCTAATTATTTGGGAATGCAAATGTTTACCTATTATGAGCTCCGGGCGCGGATTGGTGGATGTACAAACTAGAAACTTATGTTCAGGGATGGCGTTATAGTCCGAGAGGCCTAAGGCGGAGACAGATAAAAATAAAAACAAAAAATGAGGCACCTTGTTCCTTAACCAACCAATAATAACGGTCGAAGAACTTAGAGCAACTCCAATAGGTGGCATTAAAATGGAGTATCAAATATTCAATTGATGCTTGAAATAATACTTTAATACTTCTAAAAAATTCTTGTGTTTCAACCCACAAGTATCAAATACATTATTATTTAAATAAAATTGAAGTAAAAACAAATTAATAGATATATATTTGTTTCCTGTTATATAGGAATTTGTTGCGACTTTAATTTTTATTCCGTTGAAATTGTGGTTCCTAAACTTACGGAATATTTGATTCTTTTCTTGTTGTGTGTATTTTTGCAACTCTGTAAGGTCTCCATTGGAGGGGGCTTTTGTGTTTTGAAGTATCAAAATGGTAGTTTTATTATTTGATACTTTATTTAATTCCTCCATTAGAATATATATATATATATATATATATATATATATATATATATATATATATATATATATATATATATATATATATATATAATCATTAAAATATTATATTTCTTGCCTTTTATTCACAATCGTAAAATCAAACTTCTAAGTAATATATGTTTCAATGGATAAAGCATACTTAACCAACTTTAAATTTGAGAAATTTCTATCTGCAGAGGCAACTATCCGATAAAGTGAGTAGAAATTCATAAGCAATCCATACACATGCATTCAGGAAACAAAATAAATATTAAATGGGTGAGAAAAAAATATTAAAAAGGTAACAAGAAATATTAAAAGGGTGAGAAGGAAAAGGTATTAATAAGGTGTGATGAAATATTGAAAGGATTTTGTCGAAACAAAAAAATAAAGTGTGATAAAAAAATATTAGGACCTATACTATAGTTTATGGGCATATTACAAATAAGTCCATCAGTGGGAACTTATTCATAAAGAGATCCAGACAATATTCTCCTTTACCAATAAGTCCACACATGGTCCAGATTTATGTAAAGGACTAAAATAACCCCTCTTACTTTTATATGCTCCAATTTCATCCTTAACTTAATTTAACTTCAATTTGACCCCAAATTTCACAAATTATTCAATTTTGACCCAAAACTTTTTTTTTTCACAAAATTTTTTTTTTCAAAAACTTTTTTTTTCCGCCGGATTCCGGCGTTGACTTTTTTTTTTTTTTTTTTTTTTTTTTTCTTCCGGATTTTTTTTTTCCGGATTCCGGCGTTGACTTTTAATTTTTTTTTTTTTTTTTTTTTTTTTTTTCTTCCGGATTTTTTTCCGGATTCCGGCGTTGACCGGCGGTAAACACCGGTCTCCGGCGTTGACTTTTTTTTATTTTTTTTACTTTATTTTTTTTTTAATTTTTTTTTCTGTAACTTTTTTTTCCGTTTAAACAACAATATTGCTTTGAATGACAGTAATATTAACTATATTACTGTTAAACACAGTAAAAATAACTAAACTATAGTTTAACACAGTGATATTGCTATATTAATCTCTAGCACATTAATATTAACACAACAAAATTCATTATTATTGTATAATAAAGTAATATTACTATGTTGTCCGTTCAACAAATGTAAACAAAATAAAAAAAACCAAAAGAATTAATATTACTGTGAGTGACAGTAATATTACTATAGCAACAGTAATATTACTATAGCAACAGTAATATTACAATAGTAGACAGTAATATTATTACGTTACTCCGTGAATAACTCAAACAAACAAAATATCCAAACAAAAGAATAATATTGATGTGGTTGACAGGAATATTACTATAACAAACAGTAATATTACCGTCAACCACAGTAATATTATTGTGTTTACAGTAATATTACAATAATAGACAGTAATATTAATACAAACACCACAAAAAAATAATAATATTGATGTTGTTGACAGTAATATTATTGTGTTTACAGTTATTTTACTGTCAACGACAGTAATATAATTACGTTGACTTGTCAACAAATCAAAAAAAAATAAAAAAAAATAATAATAAATAAAAAAATATAATATTGCATTAATTTACTGTCAACGGCAACACAATTACATAAATGTAATGTCAACGGCAGTACAATTACGTTAATTAACTATCATTGACAGTATAATTACGTTAATTTACTGTCAGTGACAGCACAATTACGGTCAACGTTTAGCGGCGGACGTGGAAAAACAAAACAAACCAAACAAAACAAAACAAAAAACTTAAAAAAACACTAAAAAAAGAGACCGCCGGAAACCGGCGAAAAAATCCGGAAGAAAAGAAAAGAAAAAAAAAAAGAAAAAAGCAAAAAAAAAAAAAAAAAAAAAAAAAAAAGTCAACGCCGGAGACCGGCGTTGACCGCCGGTCAACGCTGGAAACCGGCGAAAAAATCCGGAAGAAAGAAAAAAAAAAAAAAAAAATTAAAAAAGTCAACGCCGGAAACCGGCGTTGACCGCCGGTCAACGCCGGAATCCGGCGGCAAAAAAAAAGTTTTTGAAAAAAAAAATATTTTTTGAAAAAAAAAAATTTTTGGGTCAAAATTTAATAATTTGTGAAATTTGGGGTCAAATTGAGATTAAATTAAGTTAAGGATGAAATTGGAGCATATTAAATTATACTAAAAAAAAAAGTCAAAATTGAATTTTTGTGGTCAAAATTGAACTTTTATGGACAAAATTGATTAATTTGGATTACAATTAAGAATTGGGTATAAATGGTTGAGGGTAATATTGGGATATACATGAATGTTTCCTTTAGTTATAATAAATATTAAAGGGATG